GAAATGGGGGAACTCCGAACATGGAGGGGAGCAGAGCATTGTACTAAGAGTGGGTTGTGTATTATTTGGCATTGGTCGTAGTTTTAGCCTGGGGGAAAGGGGTGTTATGTCCTGAGCCTTGCAAGCGGGCTCGGGGCGTTGCAGGCAGTCCTGGACAGGTGCAAGCTGCCCAGGACCAGACAGGCTGTCGCCAGTGCTTGTGCGCATGCGCAAGTTCTGGCGCGCGAAAAGTAACACATTGACCCGGGAAAGTCCTATAAAAGGAGGCTGAGAGGTGTGGGCTTTTGCCGCCATATTCCAATGTAAGCTGAACTGAAGAATAAAGGTTTCCTGAGAACTACAACTGCTTCTCGTGTCTTACCATTTCGCGACGAACTCAACAAGTTCTCTCATTTTAATGTTTGCTAATTAATTAATCTGATTCTAATGCTTGCTAATTAGAATGAGAGAATAGGTTTTCTCATTCTAATGTTCTAAAGTAAGGTTTTACACTTAGGCAAGAAAAACCAAACACAGGTACAGAATAGATGGTACCTGGCTAATAGCAATTACTGCAAGAGGGATCTTGGAGTCCTAGTGGACAATCACTTAAATATGAGCCAGCAATGTATTGCAGCTGCCAAAAAAGCCAATGCAGTACTAGACTGCATTAACAGAGGGATAAAATCAAGATCATGTGAACTGTTAACACTAATTTATAATGCCTTGGTAAGACCACATTTGGAATATTGCATCCAGTTTTGGTAACCAGAATATAAAAAAGAGATTCTAAAAAGAGTGCAGGAAAGAGCCCCAAAAATGATTAGGGGGCTAAAGGCTAAAGCATCTGAAAAATGGTTGCAGGAATTGTGTATGTGTATCTAGTGAAGAGAAGAACTAGGCATGTCATGATCGCAGTCTTTCGATATTTGAGGGGCTGCCAGATGACAAAGGGGGTCAACCTATTCTCCAAAGCATCTGAAGACAGGACAAAAAGCAATGGATGGAAACTAATCAAGAGAACCAATCTAGAACTAAGGAGATTTCCTGAAAGAACAATTAACCAGTAGAACAACTTACCTCCAGAAGCTGTGGGTTCTCCATCACTGGATATTTTTAAGAAGAGATTGGGACACAGTCTATCTGAAATGATATAGGACCATGGTGGCAAACCTATGGCACATGTGCCAGAGGTAGCATGCAGAGCCCTCTCTGTGGGCATGCATGCCGTCACCCCAGTCCTAGGCCTCGCCGCTATGTGTAAAAAAAAAGTTCAATCAATTTCAATTTCTTATGGGAAAAAAAAGATCTCGCAAAGTTGGAATTGCTTGATTGAACTTTATTTTCAGTCCCACACAGCGGCGGAGGAAGTGATGCATTAGAGCTGGAAAAAAGGTGCCGTGGGGGGAGCGGCAGGAGCAAGGCACTCCATGCGAGGGTGGGGCAGGGCCTGTTGCTTCCCTCCCCCTGCCAGACACCTGCCGAAGCCGTGCAGGGTAAGGTTGCTGCCTCCACCCCCCCCCCCCGATGCCATCACCTCCCCCAAGCATTTTTTTACTAACCTGCCTTTCAACTTCATTCCGTTTCTCTATTCGCTTCTCAGCCTTTGCCACGTGTTTGTGGGACAAAACAAAAAGTTCCATGAGACATTCTAACTTTTCGCAAGTTCTTACAAGAAGTTAGAAAGTCTGATGGAACTTTTTTTTTTACCAATAGTCCCACAAGCATGTGGTGAAGTCTGTGAAGTGAATGGAGAAATGGAATGCAGCTGAAAGGCAGGTTAGTAAAAAAAACGCTTGGGAGAGATGAGGGCATCTGGATGGAGGCAGAGGCGGCAACCTTACCATGCATAGTGGTGGGAGGGTTAACAGTGGGCATGGGGGGGGCAGGAGGAGCTGTGCAAAGCAGCTGGAGGGGAGGCCAGGCAGATTGCGGGCACCAGCAGTGGTGGCGCAGAAGCCAATCGCAGGTGCAACGGGACAGCCACGCAGAGCAGAGGCACTGCTCAGGCCCGGAAGGGAGGCCAGGAAGATTATGGGTGGTGGCGGTGGTGGCACGGAGGCTGATTGCAGGCACACTTGGTCTCCTATGCTGCATGAAGTTGGTCACAAGGATGAGCTCTCTCTGTAGCTGGTTAGCTAAACTTGCTGATATCTGGAAACTCAGAATTGAAACCTTGGTGCCCTCTGAGCATGGTGTTTTCTTGCAGACATTATATTACCAAACTAGGTAACATCATTAATGCTGAGGACCAGCACTGATGAGCTACTTTGGATAATGAAACATCTGCAAGAAAATAACCAAGCTTAGAGAACACCAAGGACCCCTCATTTCAACCCTGAGCTACAAATATTCTCCTTCATTGGTACCATTCGTAGTACACCACAAAACCCAACCAGATCTCATCACAAGAAGGAAAAGGGGGAGAGGATGGCATTCCTCCCTTATCTAAGTTCTTAGCATATTGGTCAATAATCAGCCCTTGTCTTTTTAAATTAGACCACTTTTAAAAGAGGGGGGGCTCTAAATGATAGAGGGCTTATAAACTTGATTCAACTTTAACACTATAATAGAGTATATCCTAATTGTACTGTCAATTTCTTTATGGAAAAGTTTTAGGAGGCTGATTTCAATTTAAAGTACATTTTAAGTCTTATAAACTCCTCAGTCCTTGAGATAGCTACAAATAATTTCTATAAAATGTGGGCATGCAATTGCTTCTGCATAATGAAGGATAAATGAAGTACAAGAATTGGCTAATATGCTAGCTAAAATATAGTTTAGGCTCAGTATGTTGTGCAAATAATGCCCATGTAAAACTTTTCCCAAACAGGGAGATTTCATTTACTGAATATAGGTAATAAATGGCAATGAAATGGAGAAGGGCCCTTCTGTTTCAGCTGCAGAGGCCCAGGTGAAGCTGATTCCCTTGAAGGTCATTAAGGAGGATTACTATGGAACATATAAAAGGAATTGTCTCCAAGCTTACTTTGCAGTAGGATTGAGGAAGTGAAAGAGGCAGGATGAGGCTGTCAAAAGCTATAGAATTTTTGTTTGTGGGTTATCTGATTTGTTTACTGAGTTGTGCTAATCTTTCAGATTTTGTTAGAGAAGAGCAAGTGACTACATTGGTCCAAATTTTTAGACCTGAAGCCTCCTCTCCTAGAAAGGATTTGTTTCCCAGCTCCTTGCAACCCATCACAGCAGAGTGTGCTGAAGATGAAATGATGATACAGGTTCATCGAGATCTCTTTCAGACTGGCCATTTCATCCAAGCAAAGGATCTCAGCATTGGGCCACAAGCTTGCCATTATTCTGTGGCTAATGAGTTTGCTACCTTGATTATCTTCAAAGTGGAGCTCCATGAGTGTTTCCAGAACTTGCAAGTAATATTTCAGAATATGAATATAGAATTCTGGGCTGATTTTTTTAAGCTATTAGTTCAAGTAAATTTTGTTAATAAATCAGAATTCACAGCATTTTCACAGGAAGCTAAAGCATAAACCATAATTCATAACCTACAATGGCTGGACCAGAAATAAACCACCTTTGGGTTGGTGAAAGGTATAACATCTCAAGCTCTAGGTCTTCTGTTATGTTAAAATACATAGGTTGCTTCCTTTTTTAAAAAAATAAAACAGCTGTGGAATTTAGTTATATACTGTAGACTATCCTGCTATGATAAATGGAAGACTTATGGATTTTATTAACATTCAAATGCTTGAAATAATCTGGGATTAGCAATTTGTATTACACTCAGCCAAACTGGGAAGACCATCTTTTTAACAAATGATGGCTGGCAGGTTTATTGTAACTGAACCATTACTGTGTATATGGTTCCATGACTTAGCTTAATTTGAATGGAAACCTTCACGTCTGCATTCACTTCACTATTAACAATGTTCTCCCCCTCTGCAAATAGCTAAAATAGCAACAGTTGGGGAAAATATTCTCCTTGACTTAGGAGAGCTGTGGCTGTAATTGTATGATATGCATCTGTTAACATGTTGCATAATTATCACCAACTATGTTCAGCAGAGTTAACCCACTTTTCTGGCTTTGCACACTATAAACATGTATGCAAAACATTAGGTTGAAATGTAGTTCAGTATCTATGCAAACACAGCCTTGTTATGACCCATACTATGAAATGGAAGTATGTCTGCTTGGCTTTCATGTTGTAAATTGTGTGCCCAACTATAGTGAATTATCAGCCATGGCTTATGAATTGTAAAAGCTCAGCTCAGTAGCTTATTTGTTTAACTTTAGTTAAAAGTTACAAAATCTAAAAGTCATGAAAAACAATGTGAAGCATTTTATCTTCTGCCATATGACATATGAACTAGGTGTGGAGGTTTTCTTTGGGTGTAGCATGCTTTTTGAATCCAGAATTAAATTGGTCTCAAATCCCACTTTTTACAAATATGAATCTGAAGAAAGGTTTAGCCTTAGTTAAATTTCTGAGTTCCTGAGAAAGTGCTGTTTTTAAACCACCAATTTTAATTTTAATGGCCTTAATCCATCAAATAAAGAGAGTGGAGAGTAAAACCCCAAACATGCCTGATTTTATAACTTGGCTTATAACTTGCCATTATTAAACTGTAAATTCAAAACTGCTTTGTTCCAGGTATTTGATTTTGTGCTCTACAATGTTAGCTTGTACTATAAGCCAGACTCTGCAAGCAATCTGACAACTGTTAAGAGCGCAGAGGAGTTCCCCATTACTTGCCACTACCCATGGTGAGAAGCGTTGTCTAAGTTTGCTGTCCGCTTGCTCACCTGCATCATGGTGATGTCCCTTAAGTAACACACTTTTGTTTCAGGAAAAATAATGCGAGCAGCAGTGCCATGCAGACCACTGGGGTGCCTTTTACTTCAGCAATGTATGAGGAAGGAAAGCAGTATTTTTCTTTGCGTCTGATGACAGGCAAGTTAGATTCCATATTTTAGGTGAACAGCTTGGGGAAAATGTTTTAATTTTTTACGTGTTATTGTATAACTACAGATGACTGGCAAGCTGAAAAAGATTCTACTGTATACTTTCTGGGTGAGGAACTCCATGTTCAAGCAGATATCAGAAAAGGAAACCACTTGCCGCTCCGCCTGTTTATTGATACCTGCGTGGTCACTTCAAAACCTGATGGAGATTCTGATCCACAATATAAAATCCTCGACTTCCATGGGTAACATTTCAGTTCTAAGTATAAACTGTCCATAGGTGATATAAATTTCCAAAAATGGAAAATTCCCTATGGAATTTTAAAGACTATTTTCCATTTGCCTGTTACCTTAACATTACTGCTTGAGGGTAAACATTGACTGTGCAATTCTCACCTTCTTTGATAGTCAGTGAGTTCTGGTTCATCAAGCCAGAACAATCTGAGTTACCAGAATGACTTGGGCTAATATTGAGTATTACTGTAACCACAAACTACTTTATAGCATGGTATAATGGATATGTTATGTTGTCATATCTAATTTAACCACACAAACAAAAAGATAGGCTAGGAGGTCAATCTTCTGCCAAATGTTTGATGGGTCCTCAGAGTCCTGAAAGTTAAGCACTGTTACTATTCTGAAAAGAATAGAAAAGGGGACGTAAGAGACCTCATCCTCTGCTGTATGGGAACACCACCATATGAAACAAAATGTTTGCTTACTCTCCTGTGGAGTAGACTGTAAATCCATAAAACAACTGCACTTTCCCAAACCTAGAATTCTATGCAGTGGTTCTAGGCTTCAGCAACACAAATTTCCTTGAAATTAAACAAAGCAAAGATGGCCAACAGATAATCAAGAGCTACAAAACATTTTTTTAAAAAATAAACCTAGTTTATACTGTAATAATTACCCAACCACATCTTTTTTTCTGAATTTAGATGCATGATAGAAAGAAATTCTCATGATGTAGGACCATCCTTCATAAGTCCAAGGCTTCGGTTAGAAACACTCCAGTTTACCATACCGGCATCCCAAATTGCCAGAGATGAAAGAAGCTTGGTGAGCACTCAATTATGCCCTTGGTTATCCTCTTAGGCAATGGGATGCTAGTATTCTCTCCTCTAATCCTGTCTAATTTCTCCTCCCTATCAAGATCTACATGGCATGCCATCTGAAAGTCACTGCAGCTGCCCAGGAGCCAGATTTCTTAAATAAAGCTTGCTCATTCAACAGAGAAAGAAAGATGTAAGTACTATATGTGTTTGCATAAAGAAAAGAGAATGAAACATTTCTGAAACACACTGACATTTTTTTTTCTAATCTATCAGTTGGTTACCTATAGAGGGTTCCATGGAAATCTGTAACTGCTGTGAGACTAGGGGCTGTGGTTCTCCTGGAAAGCACACATCAAGTGATACTAGCAATCTTCATGTGCCCAACCAAAGGAAACAAATGTCTCCTGGTAGGTCCAAACAGAAATAATGCACTAGATAAAGGACTAGGTAACATGAAGTTTCCCAAAACTCTGTTTCATAATGAAACTGTACACTTTCATAAATTGCATTAGAAATAGTACTTCAGTTTGCTATTGAAGATGAACACACATGGATCGTTTGCCCTTGCATGGGAAATTGGTTGGTATGATTTTATGGTAAAGCCATGGATGGGTCTTTCTCTAAACTCCATCCTAATCAAAATTTGTTTTATGTTTGGCTAGCTGTAGTTGACATCTCTGAAGGAGAAATGGAAGCTGATCTTATGGTGGGTCCTGTCTTAATCTGGAAGGTTGCTGGGAATCATGAGAGAGATCAAGTAGGAGTAGAGGAAGAGATTCTGGCAGAAGACCAAGAAGCTAGTGCGTAACTATGAAGGTTTACACATTTCTGTTTTGTTTTTGATTTTTTATTGTATTAATAAACTGGTACGGTATGCATTATATTTCAAACAATAATATTTATTCAATGTTAACTGGATACGGTAAGCATTCCATTTGAAGTGTTGAAAATAGAGAAGAAAAAAGTATGTTATCAATATAATTATAATTTAGAGTATTAGTGGTACAAGCATGGAAGAATTTGATTTTCTCATGCAAAGCTGAATCTAATATTGAAATGATATTTTGGAAAACAGCTTGTTAACTGAGATGGCTCTATGCATTTTAGATAGGAGTCCAGATTCCGAACTATTGTTCCGACTCTGCTTACAAATCTCCCTACATGGAGAATATGTGTTAAGCTATATGCAGATATAACACACAGCAGATATTCTTCTTGTGGCATCTTCTTATGCAGTTGGTGATAAAGGTTTGATTCCAGTCTATAAATGGCTGTTGCTCAATTGCAATTTTCACAAAAGAACTATTTTTGTTCATCTTACATCAACCCTGACAGGCATCTGTTTACTAGACGTTGTGACAGGCTGGTAAAATATCTTGCCAGAACAATCAATTCTTTTTCATCATCTTGGGATGTCTTATTTTACAGGTGAATTTCCTGTGATAGAAGCGGATGCCGATTATGAAGTTGGACGTGAGTTTATCGTCAGGGCTGATAAAGAAATACATTGGATTCTCCTCCCAAATAAAACTATGAAAGGCAAGTGATGCTCTACAGATTTCTATCTTACATATCTAAAAGTTGTACAATATAATGCATAATCTACTATTTCTATTTTCACTGCCACTTTGCTACAAGAAATTTTTCTGCAGGAAACCATGACTAGCCTCAGTGGTGCTGCTGTAAAAGAAACCCTTTTTCCTTAACCTGCCACACTATAAATCATATTGACAGATGTCATGCAGGTATATATAAGCAATTACTGATATCAAAATCTTGATAGATTAGAAAAGGTACAGCCTACATATTATCTTAAGCCAAATATTAAAACCCTGGGTATGTATTTATTTATATGTATATCAAATTTGGAGACCGCTAGGCCTCTCAAAGAGCAATCTGGGTGGAGGCCCTGAAAGAACTACAAGATATGAGGAAGCGATTTGGAGACTCTACAATTTAGAGATTGAGCAGCTTTGCTTAAAGTAATGGCATAGTCAATAAAATGTTACTTAAGATGATGTGGGAAATTATATCTTTCTTCAGTTTTGAGACAACCAAAGTAATATTGAACAAACATCTGAAAGTCTCTGGAAATTCTCAATCATCCAGTCATAGTTGTCTCAAAGGTGTTTTTTCAAAAGGCAACTGGTCTCTTTTTTTTCCTGAAGAAAAAGAATTAGATGTTTCATTTCCTATTTGAGAAGATTCACCATCCTGCCATAACCAATGGAATGATAAATGAAACATCTTCTTTCTCCTCAGGAAAAAAAACAATTCAGTTTCCTTTTGAAAAGCACCTTTGAGACACACCTCTGAGTGACCTTCTTTTGGGGGAGCTGGGGGAATCCCATGAACTTTTCTGCCAAAATAATCTCTTTGCCTCTTAAAGTACTAAAAGACTTTAAAAGTTGTAAGAATTCTCTTTAAAAGCCAATTTTAATGCTCAGATATTCCTGTCCATAGATGAAGTGTTGAACATGGGGTCTAATAACGAATCTGATGAGATATACTCTGGCAGTGGAGGCCTGAAGATTGAGATATCACCTGTGAAAATAATCACGATGTCTCTTCAAGGTATCATAATTGCATGGCATGAAAACTCTGGCAGTTGAAACTTAAGTCATGACTTAATTGAAATATATTCTTAATTTCTTTTAGGTAATGCATCAGTGAAGGCAACTATCTTGGGACAAATCCTAACTACAGCAACTGGAATTCTGCTTTTTTTCCTGTTTAGCAGCATTGCTTAAATATACATGTCAAATTCCAGCAATTGGAATTCTATTTTCTTTTCCTGTTTAGCAGTATTGTTTAAATATACATGCCAAATTACACATAAAAATAAAGCATATTAAAGGCACTTGTAGGTGAATTATTTATTTCAAGTGACTCTAAGCAGCTGTCTTATAGGATTATGAATTCTCAGATTTGTTGAAGTAATGGGGAAGTTGCACTTCCTATGAATAGCTTGACAACTATGTGGTTTTTAGCTTCCAGGAGTTGCTAATGTGTAACACAGAGATATAAGGCTTTGTCTAGAATCTGAGCTCCTAATATGGGCAACGTGGCTACCATGTTCCTCTGAACAGTTCCCTTGATATATGCTAAGCCACCTGCCATATTCTTTCACCTTATTTACATGAAGATGATGGTAATGATGGTATGGAGGCTCTCATAGACCAAAGAATTGCTATAGGAAATACAGTTAGGTTGTTGCCACCCAGAACATTCTTTTAGAGATTGCTTGCATGTCTGGGTAAAAGACAATGATACCTTGCCTAAAAAGATATCTTGGATGGGGTGGCAGGGAAAAATTGAATTAGTTGCTTTCTGGTAATTTTGTGAAAATACTGAACACTTTCAAATTAGTGTCAAAATTGCACATGCATTCAAAAATGTAGGGACCCCTGAATCTAGAAGTTTTATATATTTTAATCCTATCAGCATGCTTGTGCTCATGGGTAAATCTATAGATATTCACCTGTCTGCTTTTAGAGATGTTTACCTTTAGCATGAGTATCTTCAGAAGGGCTGATAACAGAAGGGAAGGTGAGCACTCTTCATGAATATGGTTAAAGCTGTGTGAAAAATCTTCACATCAATGTATTAAGCAGCAACTCAGTCTCTGTCAGGCTGTTATGTGCTCAAGGCTACTTTCCCTCGTGACCAGAGGCAAGCTTGCCTGACCAATAACCAGCCAAGACACAGTGAAGGCCTTTTGTTTCATTTATTGCAATAATGGGGAGAGAAGCTATCAAAGCTTGCTTCTCTCCAAAGTTTTAACCCAAAATATTTCCTTCTTTATACATCCCTTGTCCCAGTCGCCACATCCCTCCTCTTTCCCCATTGGCTGAGGTACTATGAGGTTACACTCTTTCCGACCGCCTCCTACATATTTCCTGCTACAAACTAAATCATACATCATATGTACATTAAAATTAGGAGATAATTTATGCAAGATGTGTCAGTTAATATTAATCCATTAATTGCACATGCTCAGTTGCCTGAGTTCTGACCCCCCTTTTTATGACTTCTTAGGAAAATAGGTTCTTTCCTGTTTTGCTAGTTATCTTCTATTACAGATGTTTTCTTCTTCCTTTCCCACTCTTAAGACCCAGCTATTTTTGCCTACATATTTCCTTTACATCCTTCCTTTATGTTAACCTTTCTTGTTTCCCATCATAGCTTCTCCACTCAGTAAATTTCTACTCAGCAAATTCAATTTTAAATTTCTCTTTCAATATTAAATTTTGAAGACCTTTCTTTTACTTCTATCAATACCTACACATTATGTCCACAGCAAAGCAGGGCAAATATGACTACTACTGCCATAACATCATTGCACAATCTTCCCTTTATGTACCTGTGATATCACTGTGGGGGGTGGGCTTGTTTAGTGATATAATTGCACATATTCAGATGCTACAAAGGGGCATATTCCTCACTTGCCAACTAAAAAACAAGCCCACTTGACTTGTTTTTTTGCTGCTAATCAGTCATCATCATCTTAAAGTAGAACTGTTAAAGATGGCTATTGCTGGCCTGTTTTGCCATCAAGGAACAATAGGTCACCCTCTAGTTCAATATTTTTTAAATTCCGAGAATTAAGTTATATCAATTACCTTCAGTAGCTACATACTGTGTGTACAGAGCCTTATTTTTTTCCCCATTAGTTGTTATTCTTGAGAAAATCAATACACAAATATTATTTGATTTTCTTGTTTTTCAAAGAGGAAAATGCTGATTCCCACTATTTTATTCTAGTTTATCAATTTATTTTTAAGATTTGAACAGTACTACAAAACTAGATGAGTCAAAAATAATATTGAAATAGCTGCTGGTCATATTGTGAGATGAGGCTGAAGCTGCCATTCCTAAAGATGAAGTAGGCACATAAGCAGGATGAATAACAAAGAATCTTGTCTAAAAATCCCTTAGGGGAAAGTAATTTAAAAGTAATTGGGTATTTAAGGAAACAAAGGTAAAATGTCACCAGAAGCACACAAAAGAAATTGGGACCCTGAGCACGTGGGAAACCCCTTACCCAGTCCCATCAATAGCTGCCAGACTTGAGAATTAACAAAGTATTGGGAGATAAAAGGGCCTGCTCATAGTTTGAGTCTTTTTTGGATCCAGGCTTGACCTCTTCTCCGGCTGGTATCTGATAACCTACTTGAAAAGGATGTGGTAGGAAGAATTGACAATCGAACTGTCAAAGGAAAAATCTTCATTGGGGTCCAGACCAAGCTGGGAATAATCAAAATGCAGATTGCTTCTTCTCCATTATTCCTTTGGGGAAATATATTCTGCCTTTTTAATATTCCCAAAAATATTTCTTTCTCTGGATTCTTCCCACAATCCCCCCTTTGTGCCATAAGAGTGTGAGTGACACACTTTTACTGGCACAAGATTAAAAATTGATCTGGTCAGGGAGACTTGATAAACAAGCTTTTAAACTCTTAATGCAAAAAGGGAAGGCACTAATGGAGGCAGCAGAAAAAGATCCCTGCAGTGGCTCCCAGAAAAAACGAAGCCTTACAACCATAAAGATCTAAAGTCAGAGCAAAAGTTCTGTTAGGTGAAAAAGAAATTTATTGTGTCCAATATTCTGTGCCAATTATTTTCAAATGTTGGATGTCACTTTGAACTTTCCAGTCAAGGTTTTGAAGCACATGCCTCCAAAAATCTTCACAGCCATGTTTTTGCTCAGTACATAACCACTGGCTGCCCATTTTCAAGGGTTGCTTACTGAACCTGCCTTAGCTTTTAGTACAGTACATCCAGGTTTGTGATGTCCAAGTGACATTAGCCAGTGTGCAAGACAGGCTATTAAATTGACACAGTGAGCCCTAGGACTCCCACTATGAGTCCATGAGTACAACATATTCTAGGCTTGATTTTGAAGATCTCTTTTCTGCTCCCTCCTCAGTGAGAGCATATGAATTGCAAATCACCTGAGGGGGCCTGGTTCCCTTCCCCTTGGAATTTGCAGGAAGTTGTGCGTGCAAAGCTTTAATGCCACAGGGCAAGAACCAGCCTAGAGCTTTACTGAAGGTATGTGAAGGGGATAGACTCAGTGTGATTCTGAATGGTGTGTGTGTGTCTCTCTCTGTGTGTGTATGCATTTGTGCATGCAGCTACTTCTACAAGAGAGGCAATACAAACATACTGGACAAATTTTCCCTCCCACCAGAAGAGAAGTCCAAGATGTTCAATACTTGCTGTTCCAAATGCCATCCCTCCATGAATCCATTTGACTGGTTTATTACAGTACAAATGAAGCAAGAAATAAAATCTTACAATGAGTTTCCACTCTACCCCATAGTTTTTCTGGTTGTCTTCTGTGGCTTCATATGGGGGCCATTGACTCCAGACCACTGCAGGGGGCTTCCTTCCCCTGCAGCTATCACAGGCATCTGGGGGAATGGTAGGACTTGGGAAGATCTGTTCCACTCTGGTTGCATGGTGGCTTTCTAGTAGATGGCTGGATTCAAATCCCAATTTTCTGGCTCAAATGGATGGAGGCAGCATCTGGTCAGTGTGCTCTGCTTCCAAAGATTGTGGGGATCATCTGTGTAGGGCTGAAAGATATGAGAACCAAGTCTCCTCCCCCCTTTCTGGGTGATACTGCCAGGAGAGGCAGACAAAGGCATGGAGAACAGAAGGTAAGAAAATGAGAAGTAGAATTGGAGGGGGGGTAGCTTGCAGACAAAGTTTGAAAAGACATTACTACAGTTGTTAAAGAAACAGATAAACAGACAAAATGGGGACAACACAGATGAGGACAAAAGAAAGGCTGGATTCTGGTAAAAGAACGAAAAAATGAAAGGTCTCAGTTCTGAAATTGAAAATTTGCAATATGTTAAAGAGGACTTAAGGACTTGCAACTTGAAAATGCTGAAAGCTCCAAATAATAGGTTTTCATTTTTCTCTCATTTTATATGTAACCACTTCGAGCCTTAAGATAAATTGGCAATACAAAAAAATGCCATCCAAGTGTTCCTGGATGGATATAACAAAAGCTGTAGATTTATATGCAAGGTTGATGCAGAAATACGCTCTCTGGAGGAAGTCAAGGCCCTCACCAAGTTTGCCAGCTCAAATTCCTGCTTTCTGGTGAGAGATGAGCGACATTGAGCACAGACGGCTGCAAGAAAGTCAAACTTTGTGACTGGAAATGTTCTCACTGTTGCCATCAAGTGAGCTCCTATCACCCAGAGGGAAAACCTGATGGGAAACCTACCATCTTGGACTCTATAAAGTAGCCCATGGTTGCCATCATCTTTCCCAAGCAGTCCTGGACATAGGAGGCTTCCAGACTAGGTTCCCTAAGAAAGAAAATAATAGCTCAGCACTAAAACTTATGAAGAATGGTTGCAGGAACTGGGTATGACCAACCTAGAGAAAAGAAGGACCAAAGGGGACATAATAGCCAATGTTCCAGTGTTTGAGGGGCTGTCACAAAGAAAATGGGGGTAAACCTATCTTCCAAAGCACCAGAAGGTAGGACAAGAAATGACAGGTGGAAACTAATCAACGAGAGAAGCAACTTGGAAATAAGGAGAAACTTCCTAACAGTGAGAACAATTACCCAGTGGAACAGCTTGCTTCTAGAAGTTGCAGGTGTTTCATCATTTGAGGTTTTTAAGAAGAGACTGGACAGTCACTTGTCTGAAATGGTATAGGGTTTCCTGTTTGAGCAGGGGGTTGGACTAGAAGACCTCTGTGGGGAAAACTGCATGCGCAGCAAACTGCCATGCTTTCCCCCCCACAAACCTCATAACCTTTTGATACCCTTTGTCCTAATGAAGCAACCAGAAGGTCATCCCTTTTGACTTAATTTCTCACCTACCTAAATAA